GTTAAAAAATATTGGGCCGATTTCAACTATAACCTCACGAATCCGCGAGCAGTTTTTTTACTCACTAGAAGACCGCGCCTTTTTCGAACATTAAGATGGCCGATTACGTAATTGATGCAGGGCATGAGGGTGATCAGGATGAGTTCGTTGAGGAAGCGTCTAAAGAGGAATCCATTAATTCAGACACGTTCGAAGCTGTTTGTTTCGATTTATGTTATTATTTTCTGTTAGGATATTGAGGCGATGAAAGAACGATTAAAGGAAATGGAGGCGGACGCTAACAAGCTCCATAACATAAGTAGCAACGTCGAAAGATCCTCAGCGAGTGCGTTCCGTTACACATCTTATCCTTCTCCTAGAATCGAATGTTTCAGTTGTATCAGAGGAAGAGAAAGCCGAGGTCGACTTACGTTCCATTTATGTTGGCAATGTAAGAGCACATACTTATCCGCTCATAATTGAAGGTGGACTATGGTTCGACGGCAGAAGAACTTGAGGCTCATTTTCGTTGTTGTGGCGCAATCAACCGTGTCACCATCTTATGTGACCGTTACACAGGCCATCCTAAAGGATTCGCGTACATCGAGTTCGAGAGTGAGGACGCAATCGAAGCAGCTGTCGCACTTGACGACTCCAATTTCCGCGGTAGACCTCTGAAAGTCATGCCAAAGAGGACCAACCTTCCTGGTCTGTCAAGTTCTAGCCGGTTCAGGGGCCGCATGCGTCGTCGTTTTAACCCGTACGGTATCAGAGCAGGGTATGGGTTCATTCGCCCAAGGACTTCCCGCTTCAGGTGTGGGTCGTTCATTGTGTGCTTTTATTTTTTATTTTTGCACTTTTCACATTGGCTTTTTTTAAATATTGTAGGAGACGTCGTATTTATTTCAATGCACCGTATTGATTGGGCGCATGAAAAAAGAAAAAAAAGTACAAATGCCCAAGTGATATATTTAAGTTTTCCCCACGAACTAACAGTCCTCTCTTCCAACTGTTTTAGCTGCATTTGTCTACTGCCTGGGAGAAACTCTGCCCACATGCTGCCTCCTTGTCAAA